GCTGTACACTGGGCACGTGGCTCTTGGGGACAGCCAGCACTGTGGGGGGGCCTGATAATCATTCCTGTACCCGCACTTCCCACAGGATGTGATCATTATGGAAGATACCTCGCTGCTGAGGGTGAGCAGGGAATCAAGGGAGGGTCTTCCCCAAGCTTGCGGCTTCTGCCCTGGCCCTTATGCAGCTCGCCTGTGTGCAGCAATGGTCCTCCTTCCCGGGGTGAAAGTAGTATTAAATTCTTACCGATACAGGGCTCCAGCGGTGATTTCAAAGGGCCTGGGGCTGCAGCAGCGGTGGCCGGGAGCCCCAGGCCCTTTGAAATCGCTGGCCCTGGTGCAGCTGTTCCTTTTGCCCCCCACTGTCGGTGGCCCGCGGGCGGGGGAGGGAAGGGGTAACGACATTAAAGTGCCACTGTGGCAGCGCTTGAATGTCGGCTGCATACGGGCTGGTACTGGCTTCTTACTGGTATGCTGTACCGGCCCGTACCAGTCCACTTTCACCCCTGCCCCTCCCCCCCGCCCCGTGACGGCACAGTGGGGCGGGAAAGTTACCCTTAATGGTGCAAGAAACAAAGCAGCTCTCCCAAGGAACCTGCGGCAGCGGATTGCCCAGTATCTCCACGAGAGTTTCCTGGAATGTCTGAGGCAGATTCCCGTGACGTGACGGAGTCAATCAACACCCTGTTCCGCTGCTCAGATTAGGCATATGGTGGTACCTGCATCATACAGACACAAGCCTGTTTTTTGCAACCCTCCTGCCCCCAACAACTCGCTTCAGCGATTCCCCAAATCAAAGCCACTTACCAGGGGCCTCCTCTCCTGTTTGCACTTCGCCAACATCTGACAGCTGTGACTGGCTAGCCTCCTCCAGGGTAGAAAAGAACTCCAGGCTGCATGCATCTCTGGCCTCCGAGTCATCCTCTGCCTCTGGGTCCCCCCTCCCCCTCCACATCCTCAGCCAAGATTTCCTCCTCCTGGCTCGGTCCACTGTTGACTGGCACATGAGCCACTGAAGTATCCACAGGGGCCTTTGCAGTGGAAGTGGGGTCGCTGCTGAGTATCGCGTCCAGTTCTTTGTAAAACTGGCAGGTCATGGGCGCAGCACCGGAGGTGTGTCTCCCGCACCTTGTGGCAGGTGTTTTGCAGCCGCTTCACTTTGACCCTGCACTGCAGTGTGTCCTGGTCATGGCCCCTTTCTGTCATGAATCGTGAAATCTGTCCGGAGGTATCATAATTGCTATGGCTGGAGCGCAGTAGGGACTGGACAGCCTCCTCTCCCCAGATGCCGATGAGGTCCAGCAGCTCGGCATTGCTCCAAGCGGGGGATCGCCTGGTGCATGGAACAGGCATGGCCATTTGGAAAGATAGGCTGAGACCACTGCACGCATCACCTAGCAAACAGGAAGGGGACTTTCAAATTTGCAAAGGAATGTACAGGGTGGGCTTGCCGGTTGGTCACTTGAGGGCAGGGCACTAGAGTTCAAACCGATGGCCAGAGAGGTGAGAATAGGCATTGTGGGACACGTCCCGGAGGCCAATGGCAGCGCTGTAATCACCACGGTGTCTACACTGGCACTCCAGCGCAGTAGCCCCGGCGCAGAAAGCTCTACGCCTCTCGTCGGGGTGGGTTTTTTAGAGCGCTGCATCTGCGCAGTTTCCACTAGGTCTACACTACCCGCCTGAATCAGCGGGTAGAAATCAATCCCCCAATCGACGGTCTTAC